AGTACTAGAGGAGTCGTGGGTGGATGCTAGTATAAACTTCGTGGTGGGTCTCCCGAGGACGCAAAGGAACAGGGACTCTATGATGGTTGTAGTGGACCGCTTCTCGAAGATCGCACATTTTATTTCTTGTCACGGGACACTGGATGTGTTTCATATTGCCCATTTATACTTTCGGGAGATCGTCATGTTGAACAGGAATCCCAGGACAATTATCTCCAATGGAAACGTCAAATTTCTAAACCACTCTGGAGGACTTCGTGGGAGAAGCTAGGTACCAAGCTCCAATCAATTCAGTAACTCATCCACAAATGGACGGCCCGACAGAGGTAGTGAACAGAAGCCTAGAAAACCTCCTGAGTAGTTTCGTGGGATAGAGTATCAAGCTGTGGGATCTCAACCCGACTAAAGCCGAGTTCGCCTACAACAAATCCATGAGTAAAACAACGGGACGTATATCGTTTGAGATTGTAAATGAACGCAATTCGTTTACAAAAATTGAGCTAATAATACTCATTGCTGACATCAAAGATCAGCGAAGATGCTATAGAGCGGGTTCACAAGAATCAAAATCTCCACAAGAAAGTTGGCAAGGAGATCGCCAAGTTGAACCGCAAATATCAGGCACTAGCAAATAAGTCTAGGAAGAAGGTGACTTTTCGGGGAGGCCTTGTTTGAATTCAACTAAAGCAGGAAAGGTTCCCAGTAAGAGCATTCGAGAAGCCAAAGCCCCGAGCAGATGGCCCTTTTAGAATACTTCAGAAGCTGAATGACAACGCATAAGAGATTGACCTGTCAGGGGACTACAATGTTTAAGTCATATTCAATGTCGCAAACTTAAAATTGTACTTCAAGGACTCAGAAACTTTAATGAATGAGGTCGAAGCTCCCCTAAACCCAGAAAATTAATACAGGGAACCAACCCCTGCCCGGTCTAAACTTGGACTGGTCGGCCCCATAAGAAGCGGAACCTACCACCCAGATATCCCCTTTCCTTTTATGTTTTCCCTCTTATTCCCCTTCCTTTTCCATTATTGTCATTTTCTATTTCTTGCATATTCCATGCCTTCCTTTTATATTTCCTTTCTTATGTCGATCATTACCTATTTTACTTACTAGTCTCTATTATTTATAGGTTATGCTTGTTTAGGTTAGAGGTTGTTAAATTGTTTTTTGAATTCAGAGTCCGCCGCCAGCATTCTTTCCCTTTTGAGGGTTGTATCCGATGATGAGAAGATGTTCTGGCTGTACACGTTCGAGGTGGTGACTATATTCATTGTTCTTCGATTCTCCTGCATTCACCTGCTCCATCCAGTGTGTCCATACCATCGCAGATCCCCTGCCTGCATTCCAGAATTGTCGCAACTCCAACACATGCGCTCATACTATCGTAGAATCCCCTTTTTACGATTTCAGGTTGTCGCAGATCACCGTTTACGACTCCATAGTGTCACGGGCTCCTTCCTCGTACCGCCGGCAGACCGCCAATCTTTACGGACATTTCACTGCACACAGCCAACTCTTCTCGCATCACAACAGGTCATCGCTCCCTTTCAGCTGACCGCAACTCCCTCCAAGCATCTCCCTGCAGCCTATCGACTGCCGATCCTTTCAACGGTCGTTAGTCACTCTCCAGTTGTCACCTTCCTGGGGCCCCCTTCAGCAAGCCTTCGAGTCTCTTCTGCTTCCTCCCACAGAATGTCATCCCCTCCTTGCACCTTCCTGTAGGACACCTGCCACTCTCCTCCAACCACTTTCGGTAGCCACCTGCACCTGCTGCACTCGGGACCACAGCCACCCTGCTATTGGCACCTTCCCGCAGCCACCCGCACCCGTTGCTACCCTACACCGACCAGCAGCCACCCGCACTCACTGCTCCCTCCGTTCATAATCACCGACCACACTTCCCACACTATCGATATGCATGGATACCCTCCTCAGGCCGTAGTCGGATTGTGCTAGTCTTCTCCTATTGTCTTGTGTTCTTTATTATTTCGAGTCTTGATTATATTCTTGGTTATTTGCTTAATAAATTTGACTTTCGTCATCATGGTTTAAGTTAACTCAGCTATCAATTAATTAACATCATTTTTAAGTTTTCATCATCTCCTCCTCTTAATTATTAAATATAATTCATCATTAGAAAGCATATTAATATTTTAGCACAACCATTGCATGCATCATATCAAATTACATCTATTAGTTATTTTCTCAAAAGTATCTCTGATAAATTTAATTTTAATGCTTAGAATAATAAAACTACTCAAGATGTGAATTAAAGATAGGAACTCAAAAATGGTGATCAAATTTGTCAAACACTATTACATTATCTTATAGGACTTTTTAATAATTTAACTATCAAAAAATGGGATCATATAATGCCATAAAACGTAGTGAGATTAATACTTACATGATGAAAATCTCAAAAAGTTCTGAAGTTAATCTCATTTTTAATGCACTTAATTTAATTTTAAATTATTACTCTGAATCAGTGCCTTTTGTCTCCCTTTCAATCTCCTTCACATCCAAGTATCTAGCATATCAAGCACATAACTCAAGCTTTCACATTGATTACCTGAAGCTAGTATTGAATCGAAATCATATACATTATTGATGATGCACATCAAAAGTATATGGTGCTAAACCCCATTATATCCTGCACAAAAGTGGGCCACCTCACTCCCTTCATAGATTCTTCTACCATTTAAGAACAAATCCTTATGCCAACCTCAAATCTAGTTTTAAAGAGCCACCATTTTGCTTTTAGTGTAATATCAAGCCATCCAATTTAGGATTTGGCTCAATTTCAACTTGATCTAAAGGTTAATATACGCAATTAAAATAGTTTTCTAAAACCAAAGCTTGTTTTAAATAGAAAAACCCCAATACTTTTTCTTTTGCGAATAAATTCCAAGGTAAACCTAATAATAGATTTTTTTTTAATGGAGGACCATTCATTTGTTTCTCACTTGCTAATTTTGACAATTAATTCTTCAAGTTGTTTGGATTTTAGTCTAATGAATATGTGAAATTCTGTCAAACTCAAAGATCAAGCTATCTAGAAAAAGACTCCAATCAACCAACATGATTCCATGATTTCCATTAAAAATGACCAGCAAGAACAAGACGTAGGAGACAGATATCTTAAAGAATACAATGTCTAGGGAAAGTTCATTGCTAAAAAAAATTCATCCTATTCAGATAAAAGTTTTTTGGGGGATAAGTTGCGTAACTATAAGCTAGTAGGCTACACACTTCATAAGGATACACTAGCCATGGTTACTAGACATAATCACGCACCATCACGCAGAATGATTAAATGATGAAGATAGACTAAATATTGATAGGGACATGCTAGTTAAAGTCAGTTGAAGTAAGCTCCTTATTTAGGAACTTCAAAAAATAAAATAAAAAATAAAAAAATAATAACTTTGTAAAAGAAATCCCATTGCCTTGAGTGAAAATGAAAACACATGTAACCTATCCCCTAAAAAGACAAAAGTGATAGTTCAGTGCCTTACAAAATTTAAGGATTGCTTCAATAGAAAAAAATATATATATATATATATCTTTTCCAATCATTAAAGGATAGGCATCAATTGTTTCTACGTGCTTTGTCATAAAAAACAAAAGGATCTTCTATATTTCTTTATTGATTTCTGCTAAAATATAGGTAGATCTCCTTTAACTTCATAGAAAAGGGCCTCAACAATTGCATGCTGATCATTTAGTGTGGCTGGCTTTTCCACATACTTTATATACATTTAGATATAGCTAATTAGGTTCCCAAAGTGAAAAAAACAATGTCATTATTGCTCGATTCACCGCCTACTCTTTTTTAACCTTTTCAGCTTTTTCCAAGCCAGTTCTCTCTATAGCCAGATTAGAAGTATATACATGGAAATATCCTCAAAGAACTATGAACAAGCACTTTCTCTTGGATAAGAATCTTTTAATAAAAAAGAGAGCACTCCTTCACCTAATTCTCTCTAAAAAAATTAAGGGCAAATATTCCGACAAATGCTCGTACAAAAGATGGTGGAAGTAATATTAAAGGCTACGTCCAAGTAATGGTAGACAATTGCCTTTCCGAAATTTTGAAAGCAACATTTGAGGCATGGGCTTCAAAGAAAAATTCACTAACATCCTTCGAAAGGAATTAGCTTGTTATATTAATTTTCCCTCTACCGGCCTTTTTTAAACTAGCCAAATTTAGCCACCATCCTAAGTAGTTACAATGTAGACGACATGCAACATAACGTGCCAATGCCAGTGAAAACTTCTGGGATTTTCACTTACTCTATTGGCAAATTTAACAGGGCACCATAATTGCCAAAATTTGGCAAATTACCTAAACATGAAATATAAGTCAAAGAAAAAGAGTAATCCTGCTTTGAAAGATACTTAAAAAAATCAAAATATAAATAATTTTATCGACACTTTTGGTCCACATATCCAGGTTAAATTATTGGAAGAAGATTCTATTTGAATTTCATAACGACTTATTATATTCTCCACATGATTTTTCATGTCATAGTTTGAAACTTCGACAAGTTTGACTACCAAATGAAAGAAACAATATTCTAAACAATGGAGTTCAATTGCACAAACCACAAGTAATAGGTTTTTAGTCAGAGACATAATTATGACTGATTTTCTACGTAGAAATATAAATAAACAATTCATAATGATTAAAAATTAAATAACCAAAATACATTTGGAATTTTAAGAATGGTCAAAGTATTTGACTTTTGTTCAAGTTTAGCATACACTAGTATGTGCATAAATAAAAAAATGGTATTTGAATGCTGCAGAAGGAAGCAAAATATGGTAAAAGTTGTTCTGATAAAATGACCAGAAATGTGGCAATTTTCGTATAAATCTACATCATCTTTTTTAAGAAAAACGTTGCAGGCAATAGCTGAGGAAAATTGTTAAAGAGTTCTAGAGCACACTTAAAATTCAATGAATAAAAGATAACATCCAGATCTACAAACTCTTACCCTCGAAGACCTCATCAGTGCGGAATCTTTCTGTTACTTTGCTACCAGAATCAATATCTCGTAGTTCCACCTATCACATAAGAAATTTAAGAAAATAATACAAACAAATGCATATGCCAAAGCATGAAAACCAAACGATGAAAATGAGAAACATGTAAATAAGAGAAGCGGATAAAAAATAATAAGACTACCCCCAATTCATGCATTTCCCATTAACTACTATTTCACAATAGTGTCCCTTTTATTGACAGGTATTTAAAGATGGAATTATGGCGCCTTCTATTATAGAAAACTTATTATATAACATGATAAATTCCAATAAATCAATATCAGCATAATTAAAAGACCATTCATTAAAAGTCAAAGGATAAAATTCAGCTCCCATATGAGTATGATTATGAAAAATAATTATCACCTAAAAATTATAGTCTCCCCACTAAATTGTTTCTATAAATGTGGCATTGATCGACACTTACTGTGGAAAAGAGATGCTCAATCTAGTAGGCATTTGAACCTCTAATGTCCTATAAAAGTTTGCCATTAGAAATTTTTTGGCTTTCATGTGAAAGTTAACATCCTCAAATCATTATTCTACATCATCTTAAAAATAACATTATCTACTTGCACGGGCATTGATAAACATTCAAAATTTTCATAGTTAATCATAAGATCATTGTTAGTCTAACAGTATAAGCTTGAGGTCCACCATCAATACATCAACTTCGTATTTATGGACTAGTAGTTAGAATATAAAACAAACACAAGCATAACTATTGAAAATTTACAGGACTTGTTCTGAATTGTATTATGCGCTCTAAAATTTCACATCTAGTAGGACTCTCGAGAAGTTTATCAAGTTAATTACAGCAACAAATGAGCAGCCAAGGCCCAAATACATCCCACATGTTGAATACTTTTGAGAGTTTAGGAGTATGCCACATACACTTACAAGAGTAGAGTGCTTAAAAGCCAAGTGGAAATCATTGCAATCATCCACAACTTCAGAATTTTTGTTCATCATCGCAACTTCAGCCATTTCCTTATACAGAATTATGAACTAATTGAATTATTTGATCTTCTATGACTTATATGTTGATTTCTTTGTCTTCTAGGAGTTGAGAGTACTTTACTTCGGTCTTTTCATTTATTTGCCTTTTTTTCTTCATCTATTTGCTTATGAGAGGCATTCCTTTATTTGTATTTTAAAGAACTTTCTATTGAAGAACTTCTTAGAATTATTTTTTTATGGTTAATGAATGACTTAAGAGGTCTTCCTGCCGCACTTAGATTTGCCTAGCAATGTGATATGAACCTGAGCCACAATCAACAAACAAATTGCAAATATTAGGTCGGAAAACCCAAATCGGGCCTAATTTGATTAATACCAAAGCAAACAAATAAGATACAAGAATGATCTACAATTCGAGAGGTAAATCAACAAACCCTAGGTGATTAACCCTATTAAAACATCCCCAAAACACATTCAAACATTTTCCCCAAATCTCCTATTAATTTCTCTCATTGCGTACGTGATTATTGGCTTTACAGGCCTAACTTGGGTGTTGGACTCTTCCCAAGCAGCTGGTCAGCTTAACTAAGTTGGTTGGGTCCCAGTCAATCCCTCCTATACCAAGATAGCAACCAGTCCCTCCTAGGCCGCATAAAGATACTCCCCTTACAAAGAAGTACCTTGTATTTGAGGTAGAATGATGAAAACTACTTCTGGATCACTTCATAAGGTTCTCACGTTACTTCATAATCTGGCAGAACTTCCCACTTAATCAGCATCTCATTTGCCCCGGTCACTCCTAGACGCACCCCTTCTACATCCAAAGATTCCAAAAGCACCTTTATGTCCTCTATTAGTGTCAGCGATAGTGAAAATGAGAGTGTGTGATCTCCGATAGCACGCCTCAACTATGATACATGAAATATTGGATGTAATAATGACGATGGAGGTAACCTCAAACGATATGTCACTGCCTCAATGCGTGTCACAATCTCATAAGATCAAAAAAAAATATCGTTGGGAAAGTTTCTCGCTCCTTCTCCTGGACAGTGTCTTATGTCGATAAAGTTTCAGCTTCAAATAAATTGTCTTTGGGCTCAAACTGTGCCTCCCTCTTTTGTCCATCAGCCTTCCTCTTCTTGATTTATTGAGCCCTCAATATATATACCTTGAGCTCTATCAATATCATGTCCCTCTCCTCCAAGTACTGCTCTACACCGTGTATTGATGTAGCGCCATACTCATAGTGTATAAGTAAGGTAGATACCACCCATACAAAAATCCTAAAAAGAGTGGTTTGTGTTGCAATGGCATGGAGTGTTGAACCAATACTCGGCCTAAGCAATTAATTTTGCTCAAAGCTTTGGCGTATTTGATACATAACAACGCAAGTACGTCTACACACTCCCATTGACCACCTTCGACCGACCATCTGTATAGAGATTATATGTTGTACTCCTCATCAAGACTGTCCCATGTAATCATAATAGCTCCTTCTAGAAATGGCTGAGTAACACCTTGTCCTTGTCTGATACAATGGATTTTGGAACTCTATGCAAACAAACCACTATACGTATGAACACAGTGGCGACTGAGACAGCAATATAAGGGGGTCGTAATGGAATGATGTGTGCATACTTGCTCAGGCGATCCATTATCACTAATATCACAATAAATTCATGTGATTGTGGCAACCATTTTATGAAATACATCGTCACTTCTTCCCATAACTTCTCCGGTAAAGCTAGGGGTTGTAATAACCCACTTGATGTCATAGTCAAATATTTGTATCGTTGTCACACATCACATCTCGCTATCATATCCTCTACATCTTTGTGCATCCCCTCCCAATATAGCTCTATTGGCAGTCAATTGTATGTCTTTTGTACCCTGAGTGCCTTTTAATGGCGCTATTGTAAACTCCTATAGCAGTTCAGGGAGTACCCTGATGCCATCAATAACACAAATTGTCTCTGGTAGAGTAGTTGTTGTCCCCACAATGCACATCTTGAATGAATGTTTGGATCCTGTAGCAACTCTGCCCGCCCCGATCTTCTTCAGCACTTCATTCGACTCACACTCCTATCTTAAGACTTCTCAATCTAAGACCAGAGGTAATAATAAAACTGTTAGTTGGGGCTTCTTCACCTTCCTCAATAGTGCATCTGCAACCTTATTCTCCAGTCATGAACGATACTAGATCTCAAAACCATATTCAAGTAACTTGGATAGCCACGTATGATGCTCTTGATTTACCATCCTCTGCCCCAAAAGATAATTCAAGCTCTTCTGATCTGTCCTAACTATAAAGTGTCGCTCCAACAGATATAAGTGTCACTTCTGAATGGCCAAGATAATGGTCATCAATTCCCGCAAGTATACGGCTTAAGCCTCACCCTAGCAGTGACCACTTGGTTGAAATAAGCAATAGGCCACTGGTCCTACATTTGTACTGCCCCTAATCCAGCACCGAAGCATCTGTCTCTACCACAAATGGCCTATTGAAGTCTAGGAGTGTTGATATCGGAATGTTGATCATAGCTCTCATTACCTATTTGAAGACATGTGTCACTGCTTCTCCCGACTTGAAATTGTCTTTCTTCAGTTGCTTAGACAGCATCCATGCAATCACACCATACCCTCTCACGAATTTTCAGCAATACCTCGTGAGACTTAAGAACCATCTCAACTCCTTCAGACACCTCAACAAAGGCCAGTCCAACAAAGCCTCAAACTTGAATTGGTCAGCTACTACCCCTGCCCTAGTTACCGCATGCCCAAGGCACTCCACCTATACTATTCAAATGAACAATTCTTTAAGTTGGCATATAATTGGTGCCCTCTCAACATCTCCAAAACTTTTCTCAAGTGTCTCATATGCTCTGCCTCCGTGTGATTGTAAATCAAGAACATTAAGACAAACTTCCTAAGATAAGGCTGAAAAAACCTGTTCACGAGAGACTGAAATGTGGCTAGAGTGTGGTCATGTCAAATGGTATCACCAAAAACTCATAATGTCCTTCATGAGTCCTGAACCTTGTTTTGAGCGCATCAGCTAAATTTGTCCTAATCTAATGGCATCCCGACTTCAAATCGATCTTCGAGAGTATGATTGCTCCATAAAGGTCATCTAATAGTCCAATTACCAGAATAAGAAACTTGTCCGGTACAATTTCTTTGTTCAAAGTCCTATAGTCCACACAAAATCTATAGCTACTATCATTTTTCTTCACCAATAATATTGGATTGGAAAAGGGGCTCAAATTTGGTCTGATAATACCTGCTTTGAGCATCTCCCGAATCAACCTCTCTATCTCATCCTTCTAAATTTGAGGATGTCGGTATAGTCTAACATTGATAGGAGAAACACCTTCCGTCAATGTAATGTCATGCTCGAGGTCCCTCGGTGGCGATAAGCTGCTATGCTACCGAAAGATATTGAAAAATTGCTGCAGATGCTACTAAACAAACTTGGAGAACTCGACTAACTTAGGATCTCGGATCTCCTCTATACTCAGCAACTCCACCAAATAGCCCAACACTACTCCTCGTATCATCTTGAGCATGGTTTTGAGTGAGACCACAGTTCAGCATAAGCCAACATCCCCTCTCAACACAACATTTCTCCCCTGCACCCTAATCTATATAATCAGAGATTTCCAATCCACTTTCATCACTCCGATTATTTGTAGCCACTTCATTCCCAGAACAACATCAGCATTTTCCAAGTCCAAGGGAAGAAAGTCCCCCATTAACTGTAAGCCATGTAGTGTCAACACCAATCCTCTGCAAATTCCCTCACTTTTCTCCATCTTCCATGTCCCTATCATGACCCAAAAAGCTCTTGTATCTCCCGATTTGAGATAAAGTTAGGAGTGGCCCCACTGTCCACCAACATCATTATCGGATGCTCCTCGATTTGTCCTCTCTCCTTCATGGTGTGATTTGGAGTAAATCTCATCACTGAGTTGAGAGATGTCTCCACTATATCCAAGTGTAAGTGCTTCTCTCCCTCTACTGCTTCTTCCTCCAGCTCCTCACCATTTGTCCGCTCCCCATCACAAATTGTAAGGACCTGGAGTGTGATTCTTGCACCGGTGGCCTGGGGTTGAACTCACATACGTGATTATTGGCTTGATGGGTCCCACTCGAGGCTCGACTCTTCCCAGGCAGTCGACCGGCTTGGCTGGGTCATTTGGGTCCTGGCCTGTCCCTCTTGGACCGACATAACACAATGTTATGATTTTGCAAGGCTTATTCATTTCTCCAAGATCAAGAGAAAGCTATGAGAGACAACAGCCTTCTTTATCTCCCTTCCTTAAAATAAACCTCTATCCTCCTTTCTTTTACATTGCTTCACCATCACTGAACAAAATGAAGATAAAAAGGCAGCTTATAATTTAGGAACTAAGCAATGAACTACCCAAAGGAACTTCCATTGAATACCATAAGGTAACTTACTTCATATGCTTTAGAAGTAAAAAAGTCATAGCAGTCCACAAAAAATGTGCAAATTTGCTCTTTCAATTTTTTTTTGGGTGGCGTAATAGGTTTAACCACTTTGAGTCTAGCGTCCATGTGTCAGTGCACTTATAAGAACATTGAAATGAATAAAAATGATTGGATGTGAAAGATACCTGAGCTTTCGATTATCCCAAAAGAATGAAGAAAATATATATCACAAAAAGCGCCTCTTATTACTTCTAAAGTATGCTTATAATTTAACAATCAGCTAACCAAATTTGAAGTACGGAGATTGTTCAGCTTTTTTTTATCTAGAACTTCAAAAATCATATCAAGTAAATTATTTGTCATTTACCTGAATGGTAGCTCCTCCTCTTCCATGTTGGGTGTGCTGTGCTTTTAGAACCTATGAAATTATAAAAATTAAAAGAGAATCATATATGATACATCTGGCAAGCAAAACGGAATAAAATATTGAGGGAAAGATAAGTACATAACACTCTCAAAATTAAAATATCAAAATGAATTGAGCATAAAAGTACCTGATACGCGCGCCCTATATAAGCCCCCAATGAAGAGTTAAGATAGCCTTGTTAGTAAGTCAACAAAATAAAACTCTTGAGCTAGTATAAGACTTTGAATTAGATGAAAACCTTTTCTCTGAATCACATGCCCAGTTCTCACCTGCAACAAGTCAAGCTGAGAGTGGATATACTGAATGACAAATTACGTTAATGGATAAACAAGGAACAGGGTTGTATTAAAATAGATTGAAAAAATGTCTCAGTTAAAAAAAAGGCAAGTGATGAACGGAAACAATATGTTTTAAATATCTTACAGACAGTAAGATAAAACACACATGTTAACTGAAAATCAAGAATGTGTACATGTTGTATCATATGTTTTATGATAAACTTGTAGAAAAAAAAGTACCCTTCAAGTAAGACTTCAACAAAATTTAAAACTTACTTTGACGACAATAATATAGTGTCATTATATTTAACATTTAGTCAATACAAGTTTCTAAAGTACACCATACCATGATCAAAATAATACGATTAAAACAAAAAATGATTGATACATCAATAAGAAATCTCCTTAATCAGGCACAAATCTATACTTCCTTGGGATTGTACAATCAAATTTTAATAAATTTACAATCAAACTAAACATCTTGATAAAACATACAGATAACATCAGAAGTGAACAAATGACACCAGACCAAGCATTCAAGCATAATAGATAGCCTTGGAACATTAATTGCAGAACTAAAGGATCTCCAAATCTTACATGTCTATGGTCACATCAAGCATCTCGATAAGAAAAATTTAACAAGCCTAAAATCGTTCAAATCTAATATCATTGAGGCGATTAAATACTCAAAAATATCGTATGATCAAGAGAATTACTCTTAGCGTTTGATGGAGCAATATGTAAATTAGTGGTATTTACAGGTGATACAGCTCTCAAAATCTATAAATAGACATTCAATCTCTTCACGAAGCAAGAGAATCTGAACTCCAATCATCATCAGCGTATAAAATGGTGTATTTCACTTTTCCTAGAGCTCCACCTATGCATCATCATCAAACCACCAACAGATCACCTTGGCTCGGTTGCTACCTGCGTAAGACCAACATCAATCCACCATTGCCACAACCATCACCAACCATCGTCATCATCATATCATTATCAATGTCAAACCACCAATGTTACTAGATCGATGTTGTGTCATTGTCATCACCACCAAACCATCATCACCGCCATCGTTGAATTAGCGTCGCCACTGAATCACTATTGCAACATTACCAATGCTCGATCAATGTCCTTGTTGAACCTAGTCATCGCCAATTTTCCATCACTGCCACTATAGTTGGATCAATGTTGTTGTCAGATAGTCACTATCGTCACTGAACAGCCATCGCTACATCAATGTCTGGACACCAAAACCGAACCAGCACCATTCGACCATGGTCAACGGATTATCACTTTTTAATCATCATCGTCAAACAACCCCTTCAATCCACCACTATAAACCTTTGTCACCACCACCTTCATTGGACCACAGTTGTCGCCACGAATCGTCATTGTCATCGTTGGATTATCACTGCCAATATCGGAGTACCATTGTCACACATTTGTCGTGTTGCCACAATAGGATCATTGTCGTTCAACTAATTCTATCAGACTACTACCATCTAACCATCATCATCACACTAACTCCGCTACTCTGTTGTCATCGGATTGTTTTCACATGAACAATGTCTTCAAAAAGTTGCCTATCTAGGATTTTTAAGGTTCTATCACCTGGCTACAACTGCCCGACTTTCGTTGCCCAATTACAATCCCTTGATAACAGTCTTCCATTTATAATTTATTAAGCTTCATCACCACACTATGGACCATCCAATTCTCCTGACTATAGTTGTCCAACATACATCATCCGTGATGGGTAATATACATCATCCGGCTACAAGTTTTTCACCACAGTCGGTTGATTGTATCTCGTGATCATCAGCACTTAACTATGGTCATCTAGCACCTTTGCCCATCAGCACCAACAATGACACCTTAAGATCTCATTGTTTGTCAACCAGCGATGAAACTTATAGTCATTTACCACTTTCATTATTCTCACTGTCATATGTTTTTATGTGTTTTATGGTTTGATCTAGTTGTCGAGCATGATTGGTCCATATTTAGAGTTAGATCGGTTCGAATTTTGAGCCAACTTCTTTCCAGGTCGAGTTAGATCAAATCGACTCAATTTCGATCCGACTTGGCTTAAAATTGATTGAATCATTTGATATGATAATAGCACGTCATTAACATCAAAATAACAAAAAATTCCCAATTCTCTCAACTCCTCTTCTGAAAAAATAAAAAACCCACTAAGCATTCATTAAAAAATACCTTTAAGAAATTTCCAAAGTCCAAAATCTTTTCCAACTTACATTATGGAGGACAGTTAACACAATTTATGCCTAATATGATGTGTCAATGTCTCTCCCAAGTTACGAAAGAGGCCATTATTGTAACCTATAACATATACTATTAGAATTATTTCAAGTTCACCAGACCCTGTAATTTTTAACTTAAATTTTTCATGTTAAAAAAAATCTAAATCTTGATCTTTCAAGTCTATCTTTTATTTGTATGTGTGATAGATCATGTAATATTGAGATGTTATGGTCTGTTTGGCACAACAGAAGAATTGTGGCGTGGTTTCAAACAGCAAGTTCGTTCGTTTGGAAAAGGCGGCACGGCAGCATCTTCGACGACACGACCATACACGCTCCTTGTTTGTTACATTATTTTTCCCCTCCCTACCCCCGAGTCTCTACCTTAACTCCTTCACGTCTCTACCCTAGCTCATTCGCATCTCTGCTTCTCTAGCTTTTTTGCCTCTCTGCGTCTCTGTTGCCTCTTTTGCGTCTCTTTTGCCTCTCTCGTGTCTCTACCCTAAGGTCATCTCTTATCTCTCGTATGTGTCGTAAGAAGTGTTCTTCCCTCGCTCTCCAATGGTACCCTCTATCATTTATCTTTGCAATTTGAGGTTGATTTGGACTGTAGGGCTTTCTATGTGCGATTTGTGGTTTTTCTCTACCCGTGAAATCAATATTCTATTAGATGAAAGTGAGATTTTGGATTTTGGTATCCTCAAACTTTTTTTTTGTGTTCTTTGCTTTACTCGGTTTGTGGTTTTAAGGTCATTTGTGACTTACATTTTTCGGTTTATGGCCCCTAGAATAAATAATGTTCAAATTTGATGGCTCTAAAATGGCTGGAATTGGATTTTGTGGCCTCTGAAATGAATGGACTTGGAATGTGCATATCATTGTGAATTTAGGAAGTTCAAAGCTCTTTCTGGTTTATGGCCTCTATATATGCTACATTTCTTGTTTTTGTTGGTCTAGGTGTTTGTCTTCTTTCTCGGATTGAATGTTTTGATGCAAAACCAAAAAAGAAGGATGGTTTTCGGCTTTGGGAAATTGATGGGGTGGAGGCAGCGAATTGGGCTTAAGGTTATGACAAATTGTTCAGTGGTGTTTTGTCGATATTTTTGGAATAAATGGGGCAACATTGCAATGAGTAGAATGAGCGTGTAGATATCATTATGTGCTCTTAGACTTGGGCCTTTGAATGCCACGGGAGGCCTTGGAATGTTGTGGAGGTGATGAGAATGTGTTAGAATGCTTCAAAGATTCTTAGGAAAGTGTTGTATGGTGGTGTTTGTGCATTGAAGTTGTGTTGGCAATGCGTTGATGGTGTGATGGTGAGGTTTGTTGGTGTGGTAGATGAGAGTGATGGCTTGTTGAGTTGGAGGTGGTGGTGTGTGTACATGGGAGTGGGGGCGATGTTATGTCGATAGTGTGGTGGTGGTGTGTTTGTGTCGGTGATATGATGGTGTTGTGTGTATATGGGAGTGGTGGTGGTAGTATGTTGATAGTGTTGTAGCAGTGTGTTGTTGGTGTAGTGGTGGTGGTGTGTTGGGTTGATGATATGGTAGTAGTGGTGTGTTGGGTTGATGATATGGTGGCGGTGGTGTGTTGGTTTTGAGGTGGTGGTGTGTTGGGTTGAAGATGGCAGTGTATGTTGGTGGTGGTAATGTTAGTGAATTGTTAATATATTTCAGATGTTTCTTTCATGTTACCTTTTCGAGTTTTGGAATTTTAAATGAGACTTTATGTTTTCATGAGATAACTTTATATTATGTGCCACAAATTTATGTTGCTTGTTTCGTGTCATCATAAAGTCAAAAGAAATCGATTCGTCGGTCATATGGGATGAAGAGGTGAAATTAGTATTTTGGGATCATTGTCTTAAATAGGTGAAATTGGGAAACATACAAATCACCTACGTTAACAAATAAGAATGCAAAATTCAAGAAAAGCATGGGAAGAGAATATGATAGCGTGCAATTAAAAAACAAGTGGAATCGGTTGAAAATGACTCAAAAATATTAAAAAAATTAAAAATATTTTTATGTATGAAATGTGCAAGCAGTACTGATTTTATTATAAACAGCACAATACAGTTGCAGAACAATTGCTACAAAACTGCACAAAAGAAACAAACACAGTTTTCCCGCAGCAGTTTCTTACTGACACAGTTTTTGGCAATAATAAGTTGCAGCTATCCCAAAGTAACCCTTAATCTCACTTTATTGCCAAGAATTTTCCTTAAATCAATAGTTTAGCACTATCTTTGAAAATATACAATACATAAACCAAATTAAACCTGCTAAATCAAAATAAGACTGCCATGAACGGATTTTCCTTTAGAATTTATTTTATACAAAGATAGGCAAACCCTCTCCGGGGAACCAGAAACATGAAAGAAAAAAAGAAAGGAAAGGAAAACGAACCTCAGAGCCCAAAACTTTGGCTCCGCGGCGTTGGATAGCGGCCCACGGCGCTGCAAGGATCCGGAGCGGCGGCGAACTGGCAGTGGCCAGCAACGGCTCCGGTGATCGCCGAGCAAGCGACGCTAGGTAGGAAGACTGAAAAGGAGATAGAGAGTGACCAGAGGAGAGAAGAGCCCGGTACACTCTTCTCACGCCGTGCATTTGTCGGATTGATGGTGGAACCATAGCAGCAGCTCGACACCGAACAAACCCAAACCCTTCAGATTCTCTACGGCATAACATAAGCTAATTTCGAAGGAAAATTAACCAACTCTGAAATCAATCAAATTAAAAAATAAACTTTTAAATAATAAATTAATAATTAAATGACAATTATTTTAAAATAAATAAGGGATATTTACCCATAGCACCTAAGAATTTAATCTTTATCTACACATCACATCTTCTTAACTTTTTACCCATACATCACATTTTCTCAAAATTGAGATCTTCATGCATCTATTTTCAAGTTGTCTCAAGGCCCGTTTTGGGCAGCTTATTTGGTGCGATCGCGTTTTAAAAACACACCTGATCTAGGTGAGGAGACAGTTTATTGGCAGGGGTCTGACTTTTTCAAAAAAATAAAAATTTGTATTAACTACCGCACCTAGCTTATCAACATATTATTTTTAATCAGCTTATCAGCAGATTATTCAATAAGCTACAGTTGTCTCAAACAGACTATCAATTTTGTCTCGCCCCCTAAATAAATATCCCGTAACGATCTCGAAGGTTGTGATTTCATCTCGCCCCGTCTCAGGATTCTTCTAAGCTTTCTTGTGAGTGTCGCCTTCGACTTCGACTTTCTCCCTCCTTCTACTTCCCCTTCAGCATAACATGCCTTCGTCTTCGTTCTTTCTGAGTATGTAAAAATCCACATTTTGTTTTATTCAGGTTTGCTTGTTTGTAATGTTTGTGTTGTTATTATGTTATATTGCAAATGTTTGTCATGTATTTGTTAAACTGCTTCTCAAATAAGATCATGGCACCGACGAGTCCTCGTTTGGTACGTAAAAAATCCCCATATTTTTATTCAGGTTTGTCTGTTTATAATGTTTGTGTTGTTTTTATGTTATATTGCAAATGTTTGTGATGTGTTTGTTAGATTGTTTCTCAAATAAGATTATATTACTGACGATGCTTACTACTTCGTTGTAGGACTCCGAATCTATTAAAGAGAACTATTGTTAGAACATTATGATCAAATTTTATACATTTTAATTCATGTTTACCTACAAAGGAGTTTTACATGCGCTTCACTTAAACCTTTCTATTTTGTTTTTTTACTACCATGAAGAAATTTGTTCTGTTATAGTTCTAAGAGATCTTCCAAATTTGAACTACACAAATATGAGCAGAGGCACAAAATTAGTGGTTTCAATAGACTTCTAAATTAAAAAGACCATCTTACCTATGAACAGCATCGGGAAAGTTGGTAGGAAATACATCATCACACCGCTTGTTCTTGCTCAAATCACTGTACTTGCACTGATTTTTGTTTATCATGATCATTGCTAGCACTTGAAATCACTGTCGCTAGGTGAATTTTTTTGTTTCCTTGAGGTAAAAATTGAGTCATTAACTTTTTGAAATAAAAAAAACTAACAAAAATCAGTTATTACCGCCTCGAGGGCTGTCAAAAAAAATTCATTGTTTGTGAATAACTCGTGTTCGGCTCGTTTACTTAACACACAAACAATTTTTTAAGGCTTGAATTATAAACGAGCCAACACGAACAACTCTTTGTTCATTCGTGTTCGGCTCGTTTTAGTTCAAATAAAAAAAATATTATAATTATTTATATAATAATATATTTTATATATATTCATAACACCTAGTGTGGTAATGTGGTTGATGTCTTCTTTTGCATATATTTGGCCCAGGTTCGAATCCAACACTTTACATCTAATTTTTTTAATTTAATTTTAACGAGTCAATTTCGAGCCGAACACGAGCCGAAGAAGAACACGAATATTTAAATCGAGTCGAACACAAACACACTGTTCACGAGACGATTACGTATACAAGCCGATTTCGAACACGAGCTGAACACGAGCCAAGTCTGAGCTCGCTCAAGCTCGACTCGTTTACAGCCCTAACCACCTAATGAAATATCTATCAACATTATACACAACAAAAAAATGTTGATTTATTTTGACAAACAATAGTTCATACAAAAGAAAAAATTATTAGCCAAAACACTTGAAACCCAATGGTTTAGTAATATTATTTTCTTAGATAAAGAATCCTAAAAATATATTGTTGTTTATATTGTGAACATGCCCACTTTTCAGCATAGGAGAATGCAAAATTTACCTAATAAGTATGAAACTATGGAAAGCCATCAACATGCAAACTCGAGAAAGAAGGCAAGAATTCTCAACAAATTGTCTACTAATTGAATGATTGTTGCTATTGCAAACCAATTTGAATTCACGAGTTTCTATCATGGAAAACGAGTTAACTTCTTGCCTTGAATTTGGTTAAGGAGAAAGATCAGGATGAGGCAAACAAAGATAGAAACCAATTTTTACTACCATAGTGTCCTTCAACCTCAGTTGTATGAGGTGGTGATTGGCGACATAGAGCTAAGCTTTTCTAGTGCTAATATCTCTTATGTAATCTTTTGCATGCGACACTAGTCTACCTTTCCATGTGGATGTTTATAATTTCTTCTCTTTCCTCAATTCCATAAACTTAACTCTCAACATATCAAGCAAATCAACCATAGGCTCACCCCTAACTTCTTCATCCATGCATTGAATGTTTCTCTCAAATTATTTGTGCTACATTGATTGCTTATGCTAGGTAAGAAATTAAGTATCAACCATTCATAAGGTAAAGCTAACAAATTAGAGTGAATTCGTGTGCACGCACTGCATATCCCATTTATGTTGGATTCATACTGACTTTTAATATATAAACTATCAACTAATGACACCAAATTTTTATTTTTTTTGTTGTCGTTGCACTAGAATATTTTTTTCAAGCTCTTCCATAAGTGGTGTGATACGCTCGATGTCCGCAATTGTTAAAACATGAGTTATTGCATGTTTGAGTCACTGCACCATATCTGACATAAATGTTAAGTTTTGTAAGTTGATGTCAATTGATTTTGCAATTTTTCTAAGAATCATTTTCAAGATTTCTGACTCTAATTCCACAACAACAAATGCCATTGTAAACAATTCGTTGTGGCCATCTAGTAAATTTGTAGATAACAAAACACCCATATACTCATGCTTCAAATGGCAAGCTTTAAACTTAATGAAGTATCTACAACCCTTCAAAAAACCATTAATGAATACCTTAAAGCTTGCATAGAACCTATCGAGTGATGAATCTTTTCTACTGCACGTATATGTAACATGCAATCCTGGATTTCTATTATTTAGCTCTGCTTGTAGTGTTGGTACTCATTTGTAGTTATCATTAATTGAACAAAAAATTCTCTCCTGAGCTTGTTGTTTTGACTCCAAACTCTAGATAGAGCAAATATAAACTATATACACTCTCTAAGTTATTCTTAATTTGTTTTGTGGCAATGTCGGTATTTTTTTTTTTATTGTTTTCAATTTTATTTTCTTACCCAATAGATCGTTATCAATTATTTTCTACTTTTATTTATGTCCGGGCATATATGTGTTGGTTATAATTTTCAAACCTCAAAAGTTTTGACATCAACATTTATTATCGCTTGTATCCTCCAAGAACAATCTTGATATGAACATGTAGCAACAACTCATATTTGATTACTATATGTCACATTCATGTTGACGTTTCTTGTGATGGCGTGAAATCTGAGAGCTTGCTTGAAACTTTCAAAATTACAGAAATAGGCCCCAAATCAATAAATTTTTTATCTTTCTTACCTTTGGGTAATCACAATGTCCTCACTACAAGTCATTCGACCGATGTAAACATCACCAATGCTACTGAGGCTTGAGTGATAAAAACTTAATGTGTTACTTCATTCTCTTATTTCTTGCATCTGCGAGCATGTAATAACTTGTCTCTCATCTTTTGTGGTGACCACCACCTCAACTCGATCATTTGTACTAGATTGCACAATCATTTTTTTCACTTCAACACCATTATTAATATTCATGTACCCTTTAGATGATGTAGCGTATATGTAATGACGTAATTCAAAATTATGTCATCTAAGCCTGTGACAAATGGACTCAATCTCTTCCTTCAACATATGTACAGTCAATGTATCTTTTTTAACTTTAATTTCTTTTCGTTTCACACCATTATGTCTTTTTCTTGCTTGATTTTAAACTTGGACCCAATATCTACCATTTTTAAACATGATAAGCATATATATATGGCATGATTTTCCATTAAAGTTATATATGGAAAATGTGAGACCTTTAATTGTTATAAATTATTTTCTTTCAAACTTGCATAAATATAAGAAAAACAACAAATTAGTGCTAATAAATGAAAATTATGTGCTAGGCATAAGTTTATCTTATAAAGATTTGACTAAAAAAAGGGAAGCTGAATAATATTAGATTTTTAAACAATGAATGTATAAGTAATATATATTTATATATATTAAAAAGAAGGGTTGGAGGCTATTGTACAGGCTCTCAGCCACCCTCATGCCTTGCATAAATATAAGAAAAACAACAAATTAGTGCTAATAAATGAAAATTATGTGCTAGGCATAAGTTTATCTTATAAAGATTTGACTAAAAAAAGGGAAGCTGAATAATATTAGATTTTTAAACAATGAATGTATAAGTAATATATATTTATATATATTAAAAAGAAGGGTTGGAGGCTATTGTACAGGCTCTCAGCCACCCTCATGCCTTGCATAAATATAAGAAAAACAACAAATTAGTGCTAATAAATGAAAATTATGTGCTAGGCATAAGTTTATCTTATAAAGATTTGACTAAAAAAAGGGAAGCTGAATAATATTAGATTTTTAAACAATGAATGTATAAGTAATATATATTTATATATATTAAAAAGAAGGGTTGGAGGCTATTGTACAAGCTCTCAGCCACCCTCATGCCTTTGTGTGCTAAACTATTCGAGAACCGTCCTCACCACCGGTAAACTGGCCAGAGGGGATTCAAACCTGTGACCTAAGTGAACTTACGATCTTCAAAAAGGCTGCTCAACAAACATGCCACAGCTGTCAGCACATGTATAAACACTATATATATATATAT